ATTCTACTTTTTTCGTTAAAGTTTCTATCTTATTGACCTTGCATGTGTCTTCTCTTTTGGTTGTATAAGGTTAGAGGAGTTTATTTTTTTTTATCTTTTTTATTTTTTTAATAGCACTTTTTAATGATACGATTGAGTAATGAGTTGATATAATTTGATTTTTGCTTTTGTATTAGCTGATCTGGGGTGAGAGATATGAAAAGACATCGTATTTAGATTTTTCTTGAGTCTCTTGAAATAATGGTCTGGCTAATCTTCTACGGTTTATGCAATCCGGGAGATGGGTAGTTACCAAATTTAGGATTTATTTCGAAATTAGAGAGTTGTGACTACTTGGGTCAGTGGTTCCAAATGTAGAATTTTTGGTTCAGACTGGAAATTTTATGGTTTGGTTATGGTTTAGTTGCCACATACTCTGTTAAGGATGTTGTAATTAATAAAGTATAATAATAATTGTATAAACTTTGTATACAAACTTTAATGTACAAATTGATGTAGCACAAAGGTGAAAGTACAAAAAAAAAAAAAAAAAAAAATGAATGCATTTAATAGGGTAAATGTTGTTTCCATGAAAGGCTAATTTCGCATCAGTTGTATTTGTCGCATTACTCAATTGATGATGGGGAGAGGCACTTTGCCCACATGGGTAAACTCACGGTAATGGTTAGAATTCAAAATTTTCATGTCATGATTTCCTGTTGTTTATTTTTGATATAGTAAGTTAGTTATTTTGTCTTTCAAGTGTTTGAGATAGACTGATTCTTTTAGCTATTATCATTATGACTTGATGAATGGCAGCTCTAGCTCACGACAATTTATTGTTGTTGTCATGATCTTAGCGCCAGCTTTGTCCTGGACGATGTATGCTTATATAGCATGATAGCATGACTCAAGGTCATTGGGCGATACAACTGATCACAATGTGCAAACATTAAAATAAAACAAATAAAAAAAAAATTAGTTTCCAAAAGTCAATTGTCGTTTCCTGTTTGTAACGAGATTTTTGTTCTTGTCGTTTTGAAAGGTTTCCTTTTGGATTTGCATTGTCAGAGTTTAAATGCTGCAGTCCACGTATGGAAAATCGAGTTGAACATTCCTCTTTCACACCATCAAAATGATCAGATTTTATCTCTTTTTAGATATATTGATGTCCATGAAATTTTCATATTTGGGATATTATTTGACTTTCGCAAATTCTGTAGCTCCAGTAACCAACCCGCAATCATCCTCATTTAAAAATATAATGTTTAGTATTAAATTATTTATGCTTAAAATGTCACATTTTTTATTGGCACTTGTGAAACTTTTGGTTATTGGCTTGGTTACATCAACCAGCTCGGTCAATAGAACTGATGCCCCATGTAAATTTCCTTTATTTCATTATTTTCATTTTCCTAAATGTCATGAAAAGAAAGGAATCGGAGGAACTGTAATCGCTGACGTTTTCTATTGTCCATTTGATCTGCTATGAGCATAATTATTCTCCAAAACCAATTATTTTCTATTCTATCTAGAATACAAATAAATGAACATATCTCATTGAGACAACTCATGAATGGATGTTGGTTAGTTGATTCTGGGGAATATTACCTTAGCTGAAGTTATTATCTTAAGTTAGTTATGCTAGTCCTTTTGATTTTTTTTCCCTTAATTTATCATGAGAGGTAAGTGTGCTGCGAGAACAGAATCCATGCAGTGGTGTAAGGCATTTCTCTAAGGCTTTGAGGGACTGTTCTTTGGATCTACTTTTAAGCTATAATGTTATGCTGCACCCTTTGTGGTGTGCGGCATCTATCTTTTAGGTTTTTCCTAAGAATTTATATGCTTAGCTGCTTGAGAAATGTGAATTTAGTTTATCAGGAAATTTCCGTTTATTGGAAGTCCTTCAGTAGATTTAAATAAAGTTGCTGTGAGTAGGCATATGAAATAATGAATATTGTAATCAACTGGTTTTCCCCTTTTAAGCATATTGGTTGAACATATTATTTGGGGTTAATGAGATGTGCTATCTTTTATTAAGCATTTTGGTTTCTTAGCAAAATTAATTAAGCATATAGTTTGAACTCTGGCTTACATGATATGGTTGGAATCTTTTTGCAGGGAGGAGATTTGAGGTATTGTCAAAAGTGTTCCCACTATAAACCTCCTCGTGCACATCATTGCCGTGTTTGCAAAAGATGTGTTTTGCGAATGGTATGCGTGATCTATGTTATCGTTCATGCCTTTTAACTGTCCTGGATAATGTGTTAAAGTAATGCCTCTTGATTTTAAGGACCACCACTGCATTTGGATAAGTAATTGTGTTGGCCATGCAAACTACAAAATCTTCTTCGTCTTTCTTTTGTATGCCGTGGTTGCATGCATCTACTCACTGGTATGTTGTATTCTGGATTACTTTATTTATAATAAAGTAATATGGATTTTTTTCTTTTGCAGTTTCTTGATGCTCTTTTTATTTGCTTGTGTCCTGTATTTGTACTTCATGTTCTTTTTTATCAAAAAGTTTAAACTCAATAGTTAATTCCCTTTTTTTTCTTCTTAATTTTCAGGTTTTGCTTGTGGGTAGTCTATCTACTGATCCTCTAAAGGATGAGCAACAAAGTGGAGGATCCTTCAGAACTGCTTATGTAATTTGACGATTCTTTGTTTTGTTTGAGTTAGAACCTCAAATATTTGTTATTGTGTTCATCATCTGTCATTTTCAGGTCATTTCTGGACTGTTGCTAGTCCCCTTGAGTGTGGCACTGAGCGTTCTTTTAGGTTGGCATATCTACCTCATTTTGCAAAACAAAACCACTATAGAGGTTATTAGAATAATTTCTAACAATGTTCTTCATTTGATTTGGTAGCCAATTTGAGTTCAAATGTCGGTCCACTGTTTAATTGGGGTATTTTCATTTTTCCTTACTGAGAATATTTCTTGCAGCACCATGAAGGAGTGAGAGCTTTGTGGCTTGCAGAGAAAGGTGGGCATGTTTATATGCATCCATATGATCTGGGTGTCTATGAAAATCTGACAATGGTAAGTATCTTGCTCCACCTCCTTGGGTGATAGATCTACGGTATGACTTAGTAGATGTTGGAAAAATTTTCTATTTGTTCTTCACCTATATGTGCTTTTGACAAATATGGGAGCTTTTAGCATTTGATTGGGTTATAGTTTTTGTAGCATTTGGATTAGGTGGCCATAATCTATTTTTACTAGGTGTAACTGTTTGCTCATTTGATTGTCATGGAAGCCAACAGTCATCAGCTGAGAAGTATGATGATTCGGTGCAAGTTTGATCTATTTTTCCTGGTTTTAATTCTAGAACACATTCACAGCTCTGGTTTAACTTCATCATGGTGGAAGTTTCTTTTTCTATTTGCACACTAAAGTGCAATATTTGCAATACCATGCTTACTTGGAACTCAAGAGTTACTGCTATATATGCATTTTGATGTTCCAAGACCTTCAAAATATTGAGGTTAGGTGGGCAAATAAGTCCCAAGTGAGCTGTATTTTTTTTTTTGTTTTCTCTATTTTTTTGGGGTTGAGAATGTTATGATCTGTCTGATATTCTTATGTGCTGTGGTAGACTGGGAGGCCCATGTGGCTGGACCCGTTTAGCATGCCTAGATCTGTTTGGCTGGTGATGCCATGCTGCATGTCGCTTGGCCACTCTGCCTAGGCATCATTCTAATTGAGCTTCATCCAGAATTACTTGCTCTGACAGTTCTAGATGAATACTTTTTCTTTTTTGTTCAATCTTACAAATATGGAGGGGATTAGACAGTTAAAGTTGCTGCTAAAACATCTTGTCCTTTTGATAGTAGTTAAATTCTGGATTTAGAGTATGGTAATGCAGTCTATGCGCTCTGATTTTTTTTTTTTTGTGCATATCAATTATGTGAATTGGATTCTATGAATTCTTCAGGTACTTGGTCCAAGTATCTTCAGCTGGGTTTGCCCCACATCAAGACATATTGGTTCTGGTCTCCAATTCCGTGCAACCTATGATAACACAGCTGGTGCATCTGTGCTAAAATAGTTTGAAGATTGCTTGGTTGTGACATCCCCATTGGTAATAACAACATTTGTAACTTCTTAACTGTCAAAAAATGGATGAATGCCAATCTTCTGATAATGTTCCCAGCTTCTTTTCTAGTGCTTGCTGGCTATTCTGTCTTGGATTCAGGCAGACAGTGAGATCATCATGTATTGTGTACCTTCAATACTATCGGCCTGGGACATTTGAAGCGTTTCGTTGCACAGTAGGTGAGTTGAGGTTGAGGAGGCAGCATTTTGTAAGACAGCCTTTGTCTACCACTTTAAGCAAATCAATGTTGGCAACAACTAGAATTAGGACGGATTTTTTCATTTTTATTTTCTTTTTGATTTTCAAGTATAGAGTTTGTCGACACATACGGCCACCAACTGATACCTTGATGTACAAAAGAATGAATCAGAGATCTCGGCTCAGTTCATTAGAAGAAATGGCGAAATTCTCCAAAATTGAGCTGTCCGGTCCTCAATGTAACTGTTGTAATCCTTTTAACTTGAATGAAACAAATTCTGTAAACTTCTGTCATTCTTCCTTAAATTTTCTCAAGCAATGCAATGCAATTTGTTGTTTTCATCCATTGATGTGACTTCTCTGTTACGTTATTTTAAGAAGCTCAGATCTTGACAATATCCACATTATTATGGAACCTTATATAAAGGCGGCATAATAACATTGGCTGATATTGGGCTGCCACCATGTTTCTTGTCTCCTTGTTCTTAATCAAATTTATAGTTATAATATAAATTTGGATCCATGAACATGAACATGAACATGAACATGAACACAACTAGTGTCTGGATAAATGTGAGGTGTTCGTTTTCATAATTTCCTTAAAGTAAGGCATCAAAGAGTGAGGTAGACCCTTTAATTTGACAGCTCGGAATAAGTCACGTGGACTAGGTGTGGCCTGTGTCCGACTTATCAACTTATGCGCCATCATTCATTCCCAAAACAAACACAAGAGCGAGGTGTTGTGGTATTATTGGTCAGTGCTTCTCACGCTCCTCAAAAGAGGCTTGATTGATCTTACAAAAACAAACGAGAGTAATCTATTCTGAGATATCCTCCAACGACCGACGTGGTAGTTTCCCTTTTCATCTGCCCGGTTTCAGCTTCTCTGCCTCACTCACATGGAACCAGATGACTCCAACCCATCTCAGCCTGACAGGTTTTTGCTTCTGGGTTTTTTATGTTATTTAATTATGTTTTATATGCTGTGTGGAGCTCACTTTTGAGTAATCTGTGTCATCAAAAATGGATTTTTTTTTTTTTTTTTTTTTTATTTGATTGATGCCAACTTGTTTGAACTTTGTGTTACTGAAATCTTCTGAGACTAAAAAGTTGGAGAAATGGCGTTTTTGGAGTATGTTTGAGTACTGAAATTGTATGTAATAGTAAGTAACTGATGGGCTAGAGTGAAGTGTGATTTGATGATTGTAAATCGATCTTTATGCTGGATTCACTGTTAGTATTTAAACTGCGGTTCATGTTTTGTTCTTCTAGGATGAGGGATTTGATTCTTGCGGTGTTTCAGCAGAACCCAGCTAGTTATTTGTTGTGATCAAGTTAGTAGCTAGAGGTTTAGATTGTCTTTTTCGCAAACTATATAGAAGTGTCAGCCATTCTCATTAGTGACAATTTGGAAATTTGGGAGATTTATTTACTTTGAACTCTATTGAAAAAAAAAAAAAAAAAAAACAGGAAGACCATATTCGCATCGAAGCCTAATTACGGGGAAGTCTACTAGATTGCATTTAGAGTCTGTCATAACTGTTTTTAATTGCTTTCCTCCTTAACTTATATTTGTTTTTATTGAAAATACAATTTTATTTTATTATTTTTTTTTTTTTTGGTGATTTTCCATTGCAAGAGAATTTGTGGGAATCGGAGTTGAATTGTACCGAGCGGTCTTGCTCCATGTTTAAAGACCGAAATATTCCTTGTTTTGATCTCCTTCTATTCTTTTGTCACACCTACACTTACTCATATTTAAGTTTAAACAATGATGATATGGACATCTACCGATTGCAACAACAAAAAATGAATTTTCTCTGACTGCTATATATTTGATTTTGAGATTAAATCCTTTACTTGGTAGTTGGAAGATTCTTTTGTCCATATTTTTTTAACGGTTATAACTAACCATTTGAATTCAACTTGCTGGTTATAATTGGGGATTGTTTTCACTTTCCCTCTAGACAAGACTGATGTGTTTTTGCTAAAACTTTCCTAAATGATTTTGTATCATAGTAACTCATAGACACTTTGTGAACCAGCGCAACTACTAGCTTAACCTAGGGGAAGCATTTTGAATCGTGACCATGGAGTCAATGCTTTTTAGAACAAACTTTCTTGTCTATTATACTTGTGTGTTGTAGCTATTTGGATCGAATGGTTAACGTCTTGTGAATTCATACATTTTCCCTAATTATCTTTATTTATTGCATGGTCAATTGAAATGAGAAGTATAACTAACTTCAGAATGATATCATTTTGCTTTACATAGGAATGAACTGTGTTGGCTTTTTAGATGGTGTCAGGTTTTAGTGTTGTTTCCAAACCTTAAGCAGACAGTGAAAGGATTGAGAAGCTTGAGACCATCTTTTTGAGTTTCTCTATTTTTATTGCAATTTTAAACACATTGTGTATATTTTTTTACCTCTATTTTGCAAATCACAGCTTCTTATAAACCATAGCTTTTTAATGCTTTTCTACCAAAATTTTCAGCTTCCTCTTTAATGGAAAACATGTGATCAATGTTATTGACTTGAACAAGAAAAGGAAGTTACAGTCTGAACAATTGGGCTTGCCTGTAGCGAAGCATAAATGCTGGGATGGAAGCTTACCATCTAAATCTATCTCTAGATTTGTTGAAAACCTAGAGGTAGAGGATTTCCATAAAAATATAATCAAGGGAATGGCAGAGGCAGAGACCACTGACGATGGGTCTGAAGAAGAATCAACAAAAGCTAGCGATAGCTTTGCAGAAGATTCTGATTCTGCAATGTCTGTAAAGGGTGCATCTAAATTTGAAGCTGAGAATGGAAAAATGTGGCCACACATTAGGCCTTCCTCTTCTTCATCTAATTGGGGCTCCAGCAGTGTCAAGGAAAACCGTTATTCTTTGGAGGATACAGCAATGACAGGAGACATTGGCAAAGAACAATTTACTGTTGTGGTTGAAAAGCTCCACTCTTCCCATTATGTTGATGGAATACACATCGCTGAGAACCTTGATGAACCTCTAATTGATTACGGAAGCCATATGGAGTACCTTTGCTCCAGATATGATAAAAACATCATGGAGCAGCAATACATAGATAAGGAAATTGAAGATTTTCTCTACTCCAATGAAGTGAATCCAAATATATATGTGCTTTCCTCTGGAAGGCAGAGCGGTGATCAAGGTAATTTTGTTTGACCCAGAAACTTTATGCATGAGTAAGAAAGAAAAAAAAAATAGTGCCATGCCACTTGTGATTTGCAAGTAAATTGGGTGGTCTATGAATCCAGTTATATTTATCATTCATAATATAAATGTGAGCACACTAGATCATTTCTTTTTTAGTCATTTGCTGAGTGGGATACTAAGTTTTATTTTGATTGCAGAGGCTGAGCGAGGCAAGAGGAAACCAACCATTGACCAAGAATTTGAACAGTATTTTTCCACACTTATGCTCTAGCAGAGGTTCCTAGAACATGAACTTGTAAAATGTATATAATGCTTTGTAGCTATTTGGTGTATTTGACTTATGTGACTAATGTCAAAACTCGCTAATGGCTTATCTCTGGCTATCCCAATAAATGAGGTAACTTAATCTAGCTCCGACCCTGGGAACCAACTTAGTTTTTCTTGCATGAATCAATTTATAAGAAAAGAGGTGGTAGCTTAATATATTTATCATTTTAGTATCTCAGTTCAACATATGTGCTGAACCCAAAACTCATCTATCCGTTCTCTTTACTACTCATGTTTTGTGTAATTGGGTTTCGACCTCTTGTAATCCTGGTGTAGAATGTTATTTGTGAAGATGGGAAAACTTAGTTTCAAGGGCAATTATATATCTCATGATCAGTCTTTCTCCATTGGAAGTATTGCTGACAATTTTTTATTTCTGCATATTGTTATTTATTCTGTAATGGTTTTAATGGCCAGTTTATTCATAATCATTCTGCAAATACTTGGATTTTTCTTCTTTTGTCTTTTTTTTTTTTTTTTTAACCCTGGTATGCAATGAAACTATTCATAATCATTCTGCATATGAATTATTAAAGAAAAATGACTTGGACAAACTCTATGCATTTGCTTTTCAGAAATTAGGTTTAGAATAACTTTTGATTTGATTTAAAGTTCCTTCCTACCAAATACAAATACGATAAGAAATAAAGAGTGTGTGTCTGCTAGTGCTGAAAATGATGGGCTATGCTTCTAATAAAGGGGAGCTGTATTCCACTTTAGAGATTAAATCAAACAGTGGTAAGCCTCTGTAAAGTTTACATTGCTTTTTTTATTGCCCTTTTTCGTGTTAATTTTATCTTAAACTATAGATCAAAAGTCAAGCTTCAGTCTTGGAATTCAAGCAAGGTGAAATTATTACAAGACTTAAAAGCGCTTGTAATTGGAGCCTTTCTTGGTAGTTTAGGTCCACAATAAATCTTAAAGAAGGTTATTAAATTAATCCACCTGACATTAACACTTGAACTACTATATACTCTTAACAGAATCACAATATCATGACACATTCTGAAAAAGCTTTTCTCCTTTCTTATTAATGAAGCACACAAAAAAAAAAAATAATNGCCTTTCTTGGTATTTTAGGTCCACAATAAATCTTAAAGAAGGTTATTAAATTAATCCACCTGACATTAACACTTGAACTACTATATACTCTTAACAGAATCACAATATCATGACACATTCTGAAAAAGCTTTTCTCCTTTCTTATTAATGAAGCACACAAAAAAAAAAAATAATTACACGATTATTAAGTTAAGAAAAATGGAATTTATGATACAAAAACACTCGCAAAAAAAAAATTTTGCCAGTCCGGAGTAGAAATAATCAGTCAAGCCTCAAGAAGATCAACACTGGGGAAGATCAGACGGTGGTGGTGGTAGCTTCTGGTTTGGTTGTGGCCCATCTAAAACTATCCATGCCATCCTCAGCCCCCAGCTCGTGTGTACATCCAAATGACAGTGCATAAGCCACACCCCTGTTTAAATTGTAATAGGGTAAGTACTGAATCATATAACAGAGAAAAACTTTGAAGGATGAAATCATGTATTTTTTCCTGCAAATTATTGTACCTGGGTTGTCTGCGAAGAAGCGAATGGCGATCCAACCACCAGCAGGAACACCAGCGGTATTCCTCTGCATGGGATCGACTAAATTGAATTTTTTAGGATCATTATTAGGATCATAGTTTCCGAAACCAAGTCCAACGACGAAGAAATTGTATCCATGAAGATGAAGAGGGTGACTCTCAGCACCAAGAATACTGGTGTCCTGCAACACCAGCTCCACGCTTGTGTTAAAACGCAAAACCACAGTGCGTGTGCCATTGCTTACATTAGTATTATTCGGTGGCGTCCCAGTGTAGTTGAACGGAATCGGGGGATTAATCGGAAAATCTGCAGTGTATACTCCATTGTTTTGTCCAAAGAAGTAGGATTGGAGAATAGCTATTGAAGGTAACGCAAATGACACATTGTTAACCGAAGCTGCAAATTTGGTCGTATTAGTAGGTCCTTGGCAAGTTGTGTTCTTAGGACATGGATTTGTCCCAAGTCCAACAGTGAAGAAAAATTTCTTGTCCACTTTTAAAGGAACATTGGCAGGATACTTTGCACTGGCTAAGCTACGAAATTTCCTGGTGAAGTTGGCTACAAAGTTAGTGGCATTTATTGCAGGGAGAGTTGGTTTGAATAGAGGAAGCTTTTTTGAGGATGAGAGATTTGATGGTCGCTTGTATCGGAGGATACCGGCGGTGGTGGAATTGTCAAATGTGCCCCTGCCAGTGAAGTAAGGCCTGGCCTCCATGAGGAAGGTGGCATTGGGAAAGTATGGTTTTGTTTTGAGAAGAACGTTTGTGGTTTGGCCTGGAGTTATGAGGAGCTTGTCTGTGTTGAAAGGTTTGACATAAACGGCGTCGGCTTCCACAACGGTGAGGTTGTGATTAGCAATGCTGAAGAAGAGCTCATCGTTGAGTGCAGCGTTGATTAGTCTCAGAAGATATGTTTTTCCAGGCTTCACCTTCAGCTTGTATATATCTACAACAACAAACCAAATCTTGCTCAAGATTAATTATAAGTCAAAATCCCCACAATGCCCCTGGAAACCTCGGACAATAAGGTTTACAGGTTTTTCACCTTGAGAAGAGCAGTTGTAAAGTGGCCCTGGAAAACCATTAATGGTGTATGCATCAGAAACGTTTGGTCCTGCTCCTGTTTGAAGAGATTGGTTAATGATAGCTTCTGGGTCTACATTGAACCATTCTCCTGTAATTCCAAACATCAATGCATATATTAATGTTAATAAAATCTCCGAATGCATGGCAATTAATTAAATATACCAAATATTCAAAGGTTTTTTTTTTTACCAAAAAGTATAGGGATTTCCTTGTGGGGTTTCCGAAATGGGTAGGATTCATTGCGCTTTGGGAAGATGATGATGGGTCCATAGAGCGTTGATCTCAACCATGAGATATGAGCATGCCATAACAAAGTTCCTCTCTGTCCTGTAATGGTGAAATTATACGTGTAGGATTGGCCAGTTTGAATGGGACATTGTGTTACATATGCTGGTCCATCAGCCCACCCGGATGTCAACTGCCTAACTCCATGCCTGCTCTCTCAAACAAAACAACCACAATGTTTTAAAAGTTATATAAATGATAACATATTCAAGAAATGTAGATTAATTCATACCAGTGAATTGTGACATTGTTTGAAACATGATTAACCACTTTAACAACGACACGATCGCCTTCCCGAGCCACCAACCGAGGCCCTGGGAATCGTCCATTCACACTGATAATGCTCCTTGTGTGGCACAATCTTGTCACATTTTGGTACATGATCTTAAAATAAACAATAGTTTGAAGTTAGGATGGAAAAAAGTATAACAAAAACAAATAAAAATAAACAACCAATACAAGTTATTAGTAATGTACATTGAAGGTATAGTGTCTTGTTATGCCTGCTGCAAACTCCGGCAATAGAGATACAAGGCAAAAACCAAAGAGCAGAGTAGCCATTGGAGCGCATGAAGGAAGATCAGAGGTTCCCATAATTTGTATTCTCTCTCTCTCTCTCTCTCTCTTGATTTGATATAGTGTGGAGCCAAAAAAAAACTAAGTGAAGTGATTATGGAAAAGAGAAATGGTGCTTAATAAATAAGGGATGATTAGGTATCAAGGTTATGATTAATTAATAAAACTTATTTACAATTTAGATGGTCACCTTGTCTGCTCCTCTTTGTTTTTGGTCGAGCTTAATTTTAGAGTGCTGATAAAGTAAGATGTAAGCATTTGATTACCAGAATGACCTTCTCTTATTGGTTCATTTTAAGATTAGAATTAAGGTACACATTATCACCAACAATTTAATTAGTTTCAGATTTACCAAATTGTACTGTTTGTAATCTCTAGAACTTAGTTAAGCTTCTTCTTCTATTGCAAGAAAACATCCAGAGGGGTGAAAAAATGGGATGTAGACCTCTTCTCTGTATATTTTCTATTTCCTGACAAGACAGTTTACACAAGTTTCTGGCATTTCATTTTTTATGTTGGCTCTCATTCAGTCCTTCAGAATTTTTACCGTAATTTATATCTTAATTACATTACTAATATCAGCTCTTTTATCCTATTTTGATAATTAATCTGTAAAACCTACTGCTGCTCCTTCAAGAGAAACCCATATGTGACAACTATTAAAAATTTGCTCCTTCAAGCAATATTTCTAAACTCCTGCAATTTCCTATTATTCTAATGGGTTTTACTATTTTCATTGTGATAAACTAATTACTTTTAAGAAAAATATTACGTTTACAACTCAATCTCACAACTTTTTTTTACAACTCTAACATTATAACAAATGAGCATTGTCACGTTAACTCTCACCATACCAAGGCACCTAAGACACTACCAGAAATAAAAGGTCGTTCTTTCAGAAGGAACAGTTGTTCTTTTATAAGGAATGAATGTTCCTTAATGAAGGAATGATCATACCTTAAGGAATGAAGGTATGACCATTTGTTAAGGAGGTATGGTCATTCCTTATTAAGGAGGTATGGTCATTCCTTATGACCATACGTTCGTTAAGGAACGACCATTCCTTAAAGAGGTATGGTCATTTCTTATGAAGGAATAGTCATACCTTCGTTAAGGAACAGTCATTCCTTGGAATGGTCATGTTGTTCTGTAAGAAAAGAATTGTCGTTCCATAAGGAAGGAACAATTGTTTCCTACGAAGGAATGATCGTTTCTTAAGTCTAATTAAAATCATTTTTTATCTTGGGTGTGATGGAGCTGACGTAACAGTGTCAACTCAGCTGTCACGTTGAGATTGTAAGAGAAGTTTGTGAGAATAGATTGTGGGTGTAGGATTACTCCTACTGTTAATATATATGTTGAAGCATTTTAGGGTTAAGGAGAAAAGAGTAGTACTATATTTACAACTTTTTCATACAACACTGATATGACAGTTCGTAATTGATCAATTTACAGTAAGTTTCGTTTGCTTAAATGCAAGTTGATCAATCACGGGCTGTCATTTTAGGGTTGTATAAAAAGGTTATATGAAAAAATTGCAAAGTATAGTTT